ACATTACATTACAAAGTAACCATGGGGATATTTAAGCAATTACATACCGGTCAGCAAAAGATTGTACAAGGTCGTGATCCGACAAAAGAATGAAATCCAACTCTCGCTCTTTCGTATCGAAAAGATATTCTAATCGATTGCCTGACAATGAGTTGACTAAGAAAGCTCTAAAGGAGACTTTTTTGTCTTCATTCATGAATTAGCACTTGCGCAGATGATCATGACGCAGACGAACGGCCAATTTGGAGGCATCCATGTGGAATTCGAACTCGGGTCGTCCAAACAGTTGTCCATAATCGTATCTAGTCGGACACTTCTATACAGTGCCCCAAGCGCGACAAGCACAACCACGACCTGTGATGAACCTCTGAATTTGATTTAGCTGCTCCACTACCACGTTTGAATTTCGGTGTCATTTGTTCAACATGTCAGCCAGTTTCGTGACACAATTGTATGTGAACAAAGATAGAAAAACAGCCCGAGTCGGTGCGTTTCACTTGAAATGATTAGAAACTCATAGAAACTTCCGTCTGAAATGAGACCCATCGTACACAACGGGGTCTGGCCACGTGGAAAGGTCAAGCCCTCAAATCATCACAGATAAAATTAATGCGCCCTTATTGTCTGCCCACAGGTGTTACCATAATCCGTGTGAGCACGAATAATATACTTACTGCTGCATCAAGACTTTCGCTGCGATTGTTCTCGTCGTATTCACTCAATCAAGACTGCGGCATTTTGGAAACCGCAGTCGTTTCCCAGGTAAAGGCTACCACATGGTTGCATTTATAGATAACCAACGGAATCAGTCACCGACTGGATGTGAGCGTTCAGCAAGACCGGCTTGCCGCCGGTGGCGCTAATAAGCCGAGTAGACCCGTTCGCTCAGTCAAAGATGTTTCGACCTGCCGAGCGTAGCACGCGTAAGTACACTGATCGATAGAGTAGCAAGTAGACTATCATCATTTCTGAAGGCGGATGAACATCTTGCATGCGTCCCGTGATATCCGAGAACCTGGCGGTTGCTTCATAAACCCCTGTTGAATACCTTTCATGTAAACCAGGTAACTGCTTTCAATCAGACTACCAGACGATATCGGTGTCAAATGTATTTAACGTGACTCGAACAACTTTAACCACAATATTTTCCTGACAACTAGGTTGACTGTTGAAAAAAAAGTCCATTTCAGGCGCGGTCGTAACAGTACTTGGTGCGATATGATCCACTGTTCGTAGTCAAAGGGGAATTGAATCCTCTGCCGAAGTCGAATGAATCCGCCAGACGCCACAGATCGACGGTCAGGGGACCAACATCCACGTATGGTGTTCCTTCTGTTGATCTAAATGATACACTCGGCCTCCACTTCCCTACAGTAGAGCAATTGTACACACAGAATGATGGTTCCACCGTAAGTTATGGACACCATGTTAGCCGACTCACCGCAACTATATCGCACACGTATAAAAGTTTGGGAAATAGAGATCGGGATATGAACCGTCTGCGGTAGGCACTAAATACTACACACTACACTAAATACTCCAGCTTTTTCAGACCGCCGTGGGACACAAAGGGTATCCTGAGGCTGCCGAGGCTCACGGTGTACGCAGTGAAGCATACGTCAACGCATAAAACAGACGTGACAAGCACACGGTACCGACACAATGAAAACGCCCTTGGTATGACTCATCAACTACATATTCCCACTGGAGGAATGTCGTGTTCCGCCGGACGAGACATTGCCGTTCAGCAAACACTGAGACTGCCATTCAGAATGAGAAATCGCTCCAAGTTGTCAAAGGTCGCTCGATGACCTTAATTGTGGACTCTACAAAGCAAACAACAATCAACGAAGTGACAAGGTTGACGGCCACACTATTCGAACTGATTACACCAACTCTGTTGTGTCTGCATCACATAGCCTCACATCCCCACTCAGGCATGCATTAACGCGCAGCTTTCCGATACTTGAGGTCTGCTTGTCTTCAATTATCGTACCAATCCGAACCCCTGGACAACTGAGAGGCAGCCTATTGAAACCATCTTCAGTCAAAAGTTGGAAAAGAATTTCCAGTAGTCTACCGTAGTTGTGTTAGATACGCACTCGAGTTAAACGAACTAGCTCTCAAGAGTCATCAGAACACCCTTGGATTCTGTTGACGCGCGTTAATTCCACTGAAACGAGCGAGCCATCCCATCGCCGCCTTGGAGACCACGTCATGCGACGTGGAGGAGGCCCGTTCAAGCTATCCCGGCTATTAAACCCAAGTTTGAAGCTACACGGCGGTGACATGGCTGTTCATCCTGCGGTGAGAGGCTTGTGATGCAATCCGTAGCCCATAGATGGCGTCCACGATAGCCGGCCCACACACATACGTACGTCTTCCAGCCATTAGGCTATTGTATTTTGGGTCGATCGACGTTTATTAGCTGGGCTGTCCCCACTTAACAGATGCGAGAAACGAGTCGGTTTACTGACAAAAAAGTGACGAAGAGCGAAAAGAATTTACACAGCTCATAATCCGCGTTCGTACAGGAAATTCCAGGGAGAACAACAAAACGAGCCCCAGAGAAGGAAATAAACATTCAAAAATTAACCAGATGACGGTGACTTGTGCGGGATCCCGATTAGAAATCACGAGTGGTTTGTGTGACTGCATGTGTGCTAACCTATCATTAGTACGCTATGCAAAACAGCAGTTTGGCTGAGGTTCTCTATGAGCAACTGGAAGTGATGACAATCCGGAGGAGATGCGCACACATACACACACAGAGAGAGAGAGAGAGTAGGGCATGTTTTGCGGAAACGGTAATTACATAGGGGCCTCAATGGTATGAGAGGGAATAGGAGTGGTGAACGTTCCAAAGTAATCTACAACCACAACGAGCTCATCGATCCACCCATTTCGCTTTGTTCGCGCACAAACGCTTCGTAGTACTGATAGATTGTGGTGACAGCCATGAGGATACCTGTCCCACTTCCGATCGCACCTGAACACAAGAGAAAGCACAAAAGTATGATGGAGTGAGTATTCCAGTACTAATATTGATATTATTAATACAACAATATAAAATGCACACAATGCAACACTAATATATTAGCATAATATGGTTCTGTGCTGAACGGGTGACTTAAAGATAGGCTAGCTGGGATCGCAACTTTCAGAGACCAGTTTATAAACATAAGGTCATAGCTGTAGCTGTCCACGTCTGAAGAGCTCAACTCTCCAAAGGAGCCACAGCTGATCTCGAAGCATATTCTACTATTGACGCCCCATAAAAGAGACCGAACTGTTCGGTTCCTTTGGATGGTGACAGCTGTGTAGGCTGTAGTAATGAGACAGTCACTTCCAGAGTAAGAAAACAGTTAATGCTAGCCCACTTGCCCAAGCGCTCACCGCGGAAACAAGGGGGTTAAGGTACAGGTTATTTTGGACGGGCACTTGTTAGGCAGGAATCCACGCGGATCCCGCTATACCGCACGTCTTCAGAAGCTGCTACGGACGATAAGCCTGGACCGCACGAGGTTGGCCCAGAATTCGGGACGCTTGCCGGTCCGGCATCAAGATGAGATCTGATTGATCAACAATCTGGACCCAACAGCCAATCATGACCCAGTATTGGCCAAATGCCGGTTGCCAATGGAGCTCCAGAACGCGTCAGAAATTCCAGAAAGTTATAGCCGCTTACGCTATATATACGAAGCGCTGTACAACTGTTCCTGTTTTCGTTTTGGGCGTTAATAGACCTTGTGCACCTTTGGTGTTTGTTTTGACGTGAACGCTAGCTTGGGAGGCTCAGACCGAGAACTAAGCTGAGGAAAATACAGTTACTACAATTGGCGAACAGGAACCCACGATGTCAATCGAATTTGATCAGCTCCGAGAATTATTGCAGCAGCAACAAAAGCAGTTTGAAGAAGCGCAACTGAAGCTCATTGA